ACATTGCTTTTATAGATGCAGGGAACTGCTGGTTGAACAGAAAAAAAAATTCTGTGTGTATACCCTGATCAAGGCTTCTAATATACAAATAACACTTGGAAGAAGGGTTAGGGTTGTGGGTCATGTAATAGTCCATAAAGCATCTACGAACAAGCTGCAGTTGCATGATTTCCTAAGTGAATTATCATTAAATTAGGCTTAACTGGGTTGTGCGAAGAGGTTACTTTAACAAAAGGTTTTATTGACAAATGGCACACAGAGATACAGAGCCAAATAACAAAAACATCAGAAAAATGTATACATTGTAGTACAAATTACAGCAGCAAGTCATGACAAAATATTAGAAGCAACAGTATACAAGTGGCAGTTGCAAAGGACCAAAACTGAGTGTGAAAATGGTTTTCTGACATTTTTTTTTAATTCAAGCATAACAACCAGTAACAGCTTATGATATTTGAAGTAGAACCTAAGGGCAACAAGCCCTACCATACAAGAGAAGAATAACATCTCACGGAGTTACTGTGCTTATTTGACCCTAAAGCCAATATAACGGTGGGAAGCCAAGACAACGAAATACATTGTAGGAAAGAAGAGTTAGCAAAAAAAATATTAGAAAAGAACCAGAAAAGAGAAGAAAGGGAAAGAGAGAATAATGTAAAAAAAGAAGGGTCATCCACACCCTGGCTGAAAGTTCCAATTTGTTCCTAGTTGCGTCACAAGAATGGTGCTAGGGTAGGTAGAGCTCATAAACAGGAGAGACACGATGACCCCAAGAACAGTCATTAAGAGAAAGATAAAGGAAAAAAAAAGAAGAAGAAGAAATAAGAAGAATGGTCTCGGGGGGGTAACGTGTTCAAGAAATCACAGTGCTAATGATGTATGATCAAAACATGAAGGATATACATATGAAATCCAGGGTTGCCAAACATGCAGGAACCGGTTGTGAGAATCAGAAAGAATATATGTCAATTTCTCGTTGACCATGATATCATTTATGCAATGTTTTACTGCTTCGAAACTGAGAGCAGGAGTTTTCCAAGCTTTAGCTATTGTAAGCTTCGCAGCATTAAAAAGATGCGTCGCTAACTCGCATTCTGCCCGGAAAAGTGATTTGATGGGTTTAAAAAGGAGGGCCTCACAAGGGTTCCTTTTTATGTTTGAGTTAATATGGTACGTAAGAGTGCGTAAACCCTGTGATAAGAGGATTAACTGCCAGGGCAAAAAAAAGCTGTGGAAATGGGCTCCTTTTCCTGGTCCCGCCATATGTTTACATTCTTCAGACATTTAAACTAAGTTTGCTTTTGTGCTATAAATAAATACGTTGGTGTGTTGCAAACATAATGTAGGTAGAAAAATGTTGGAATATATTTCAGTGAGATTGGCAGGAATGTATGTTTTTGGCCTTATTTAGTTATTTATTGTTTATGTAAGATGTTGAGGCCAAATTTTAAGAGTATGATGCCAACTCGATGTGTGTGGATTCAACTTAAAATAACTTTATTTTTTATTCTACTAGCCATGATTTTGTTAGTGAATTGTATATGTTTATCAAAGAAAACGAGTTTCAAAATAGTAGAAGTTTACAGTCTGGTTCTAAAAAGTCTTCTGTATAGGAAAAAGTAAACTGGAGAAAAATGTCCATAGCTAGGTTCAAAAGGCATTTTGGTGAATACAATAGAATTTTTCTTCACTGCAATCAAAGATAGATGCCTGATTTGGCATCTTGGACTCAATCAAAAAATTGTCTTGGTCCATCTTTGAGGGTGGAGATGAGTCTTTCAATCCTTTTCATGTTCTGCTAGTTAGTTTGGGCAACTAAGGAGGTTGCGCAGTGTTTTGCATGAGCCTTTTGAACACAAACCTACTGCTTATTTCAGTGAACGTAAATAAACCTTCTAATTATGTAGTTCTTTAGGGCAAAAAGAGGGCTTATGCAATATCTTAAAAAGAACGACCGGTTTTTAAAAATCAGCCGCTAGGGAGTTTAGCTTTTTTCCATACTTTGAGTCAAAATTGATGTTCTCCAAAGAGCATTGCGTGACCGGTTTTCAAGATCTTACATTTTGACCATGATTTAATCAAATTCCAGGTCTGTATATATATTTTGGAGCTGTAGTCTTCAAGGGTATCTGTAATGGTCCTAGATTCTAGACTGCTGAAACTCTGGCATACATCTGAGAGTTGGCTTGTGATTCTCGTTAACAGCCCTGTGGTTTTCAACATTTTTTTGTTTTGTTTAAAGTCTCGTAAGTTGATGAGGTAAGCCGCGGATATCGGTGGATTCAGCATAATCAGAGTCAGAAATTGTGTAACTACTGTGGCACTTGGCTCAATGCTCCGGGCAGTTTTTCTGCTTACAATAGCACTGTATATCCCCCTGCACTCCCTTTTCATATACGTTTCCAATTTATGGTTGAAACTATGAAACATTCTTAATTGGAATATAGTTATATAATTGTGCAAGTATAAATGGCTGGGTCCACACCTCTGTTTATTAAAAGGTTTTTTTTTTTTAAGTTTTATAAAGTTTATTTTTTGCTCAAAATTCCATAGTCAGGTAATATTATGTCTAGCACTCACTAATACTTAACCTGCATAGAAGAAGAAGCTTTTGAATTCACATTATTAAAATAATATGTATAAATACAGTAAATGGAAGCGTATGATGCTGATAATGGTTGAAAAAGCTGTGGTTTACATGTATATGGTCACATATACATGCTGATGTATAAAATGTTCCACACAATCTGCCCATTGATAATGTGATCCGTGATGTGACTTTACTTCTGCACTACAATTTTAGGCTCATTTAAATTAGCACAGAGATTACAATTAATGCTAGTACAGAGATTTACAGTATGTCAAAACAATAGTTCTCCTCAAAGGATTCATTAAATTGTTACATCCACTTACATTGTTACTGCTGAGCAATGTAATCAGTTTCGTCTAAATCCAGTTTAAAAGCAGATCAGCCAGGTTAATCTTCAGGATGACTCTCAAACCTGACCCATTTTAGTTCATTATTTATTTGAAAGATTTAAGTAAGTGCGATTGGTCTCATGGTTTCAAACAACATCTAGAGCCAAAGAAGTAAAGACAATGGTCTCCAAACAAAGCAAGCCAAAAAAAACTGTAATGTCAACCGATACAGCGGTATGAGCATTCCTTTCCCTCCACCACCACCACTCTATTCATGCTGGGATTAGAAATAACAGGTTCTTGTAGGTTCTTCCCCTTTCTCCCATGTTTCAGTGCCGGTACCACTGATTGGCTGCATGCGCTGAATAAGTGAAATATACTAACATTCCTGGTCAAGAGTAGCCGATTGTCAGATCGACTTCTCTCTAGCAGGAACGGCATAGATGGATCAAAATTTGGCCAATCCCTGCTGAATTATCCAAATTTTGATCTATCTATGGCCAGCATTGCTTTCCACATTCCTTCTTCTGACTTGTCTGTTGCTGTGCATTTCCACTGCAAGCTATTCTGTTTGCATGTGTATAAAAAAAAATATTTACTACATAATTCTGTGTAGAACTTTATGACATACTGCCCAAAGTGGGCCCTGGATTTACATGCATGGGATGCTGTAGAGTTTTTAGGGCTTGTTTGCACTAATTGTGTTACCCTGCATCTTGCAATGCTAGCAAAATGTAGCTTAATGCTAAAAGCAGTGTGTTTTTTTTAAATGGTGCATTTTGTTACATATTCATAAGGCGATATTAAAGTGGAAGTAAACTCTATTTTCCATCTTTTACCAACATGTATGCTTTTATTAAAACTTACCTGTAGAAACTGGAAATATCTCCAAAATGTGCACCGTTTAGGAGATAGTTACTGTAGAAGCAACAGTGATGTCATGGCATGCGCCGTCCATTGAGAGCCGTGCCGCGGCCGAAATTTCCTTTGCACAAACGCGGGAGTGACGACATTGCGAACCCAGAAGGAAGACGGGTGAAGATGGAAGCCTTGGGGAGCCATGACATCACTCCTCTGGAGGGCTTCGTTTTCAGGTAAGTCTTTCATAATGTGCCAGTATGCGATGCCTACCAGCACATTATGCTCTTACCTTGCAGGGAGAAGATTTTTTTTTTTTACTACCGCTTTAAACGCAAAAGCAAACATTTATCATAATGCAGCTTACCAGTTAGATGCAATGACTGCATTAGTTTTCTATGCAACAAGACTATGTAGTATGACATGACAGTCTGTTTACAATGATAATCGTCAGCATTAATGTATGAAGCGTGTACAACTGAAGGATTAAAAAACATAATTAAAGCAATAAACAAAGTTCCCTCACATAGGAGTTAAGTTAAGGAGAACTGCAGCTGGGCTGTTAAAAAGAGAAATGTCTATACCAGTGATGGCGAACCCGTGGCACGCGTGCCACAGCCGGCACGCCGAGCCTTATCTGTGGGCACGCCAGGAGAATACCGTATTTTTCGCTCCATAAGACGCACTTTTTTTCCCCCAAAAAAGGGGGGAAAATGTCAGTGCGTCTTATGGAGCGAATATAGAGCGGCCGGTCCGGTATTTCCACCGCCGCCGTGTCAGAATACCGGGCCGGCCGCTCAGCTCTGCAGTGGGACCTTACCTGTCCCTCTATCCAGCGGCGCGCTGTCTTCCCGGCTTCTGTAGTGTGCGTGACAGCCGGGTCCCAAGTGCGCATGCGCAAGAAGCAGTGCTCTTTGTGAATGGTAAGGCGGTACCTGGGACACATGACAGATCCCAGAAGCCGCCGGACCAATCACAAAGCGCAGCGCTTCTCGCGCATGCGCACTGGGCATCCGGCTGTCCGACGAGCGCCCACACTACAGAAGCCGGGAAGACAGCGCGCGGCTGGATAAAGGAACAGGTAAGATAAAAAAAAAAAACTCTGCGGAAGTAAGAGCGGGTACCTGTCAAATTCAGGTACCCGCTCCCCCTCCCTCCCCAAAGGTCAGCAGTCATCTGTACTGTCCGCAGTCTCTGGTCATCCCTGTGCTTTCCGCAGTCTCTGGTCATCTCCTGTACTGTCCTCAGTCTCTGGTCATCCCTGTACTGTCCGCAGTCTCTGGTCATCCCTGTACTGTGTCCGCAGTCTCTGGTCATACCCTGTACTGTGTCCGCAGTCTCTGGTCATCCCTGTACTGTGTCCGCAGTCTCTGGTCATCCCTGTACTGTGTGTCCGCAGTCTCTGGTCATACCCTGTACTGTGTCCGCAGTCTCTGGTCATCCCTGTACTGTGTCCGCAGTCTCTGGTCATCCCTGTACTGTGTCCGCAGTCTCTGGTCATCTCCTGTACTGTGTCCGCAGTCTCTGGTCATCCCTGTACTGTCCGCAGTCTCTGGTCATACCCTGTACTGTGTCCGCAGTCTCTGGTCATCCCTGTACTGTCCGCAGTCTCTGGTCATCCCTGTACTGTCCGTAGTCTCTGGTCATCCCTGTACTGTGTCCGCAGTCTCTGGTCATCCCTGTACTGTGTCCGCAGTCTCTGGTCATCCCTGTACTGTGTCCGCAGTCTCTGGTCATCTCCTGTACTGTGTCCGCAGTCTCCGGTCATCCCTGTACTGTCCGCAGTCTCTGGTCATACCCTGTACTGTGTCCGCAGTCTCTGGTCATCCCTGTACTGTCCGCAGTCTCTGGTCATCCCTGTACTGTCCGTAGTCTCTGGTCATCCCTGTACTGTGTCCGCAGTCTCTGGTCATCCCTGTACTGTCCGTAGTCTCTGGTCATCCCTGTACTGTGTCCGCAGTCTCTGGTCATCCCTGTACTGTGTCCGCAGTCTCTGGTCATACCCTGTACTGTGTCCGCAGTCTCTGGTCATCCCTGTACTGTGTCCGCAGTCTCTGGTCATCTCCTGTACTGTGTCCGCAGTCTCGGTCATCCCTGTACTGTCCGCAGTCTCTGGTCATACCCTGTACTGTGTCCCGCAGTCTCTGGTCATCCCTGTACTGTCCGCAGTCTCTGGTCATCCCTGTACTGTCCGTAGTCTCTGGTCATCCCTGTACTGTGTCCGCAGTCTCTGGTCATCCCTGTGCTGTCCGCAGTCTCTGGTCATCCCTGTACTGTGTCCGCAGTCTCTGGTCATCTCCTGTACTGTGTCCGCAGTCTCCGGTCATCCCTGTACTGTCCGCAGTCTCTGGTCATACCCTGTACTGTGTCCGCAGTCTTTGGTCATCCCTGTACTGTCCGCAGTCTCTGGTCATCCCTGTACTGTCCATAGTCTCTGGTCATCCCTGTACTGTGTCCGCAGTCTCTGGTCATCCCTGTACTGTGTCCGCAGTCTCTGGTCATCCCTGTACTGTGTCCGCAGTCTCTGGTCATCCCTGTACTGTCCGTAGTCTCTGGTCATCCCTGTACTGTGTCCGCAGTCTCTGGTCATCCCTGTACTGTCCGCAGTCTCTGGTCATCCCTGTACTGTCCGTAGTCTCTGGTCATCCCTGTACTGTGTCCGCAGTCTCTGGTCATCCCTGTACTGTCCGCAGTCTCTGGTCATCCCTGTACTGTCCGTAGTCTCTGGTCATCCCTGTACTGTCCGTAGTCTCTGGTCATCCCTGTACTGTGTTCGCAGTCTCTGGTCATCCCTGTACTGTGTCTGCAGTCTCTGGTCATCCCTGTACTGTTAATTAGTTTGCATTACTGTACGAGTTGTTTTTTCTAAACCAAAAGCTCGATATTCAGGTTTCATTGCAGTGTTGGCACTTTGAAAGAAATAAGTTGGTTTTGGGTTGCAGTTTGGGCACTCGGGCTCAAAAAGGTTCGCCATCACTGGTCTATACGTTTATGAATGATATGCAGGAGCTTGGGACAATCCCAGAAGATATGGAGTAGTGTCCCAGTCTGGGAACCACATTGCCAGCACAACAGGCGGTGTCCGGGGAATAGAGATGCTAGTACTGATGGGGTCAGATACCAGCACGTCAAAATTTCCAGTGCTTAAGGTACGCATACCATAAGATAAGACCTAGCATAAGGTTTGTAAAGCCTAGAATAAAGAAACGCCTCTACAAATGTGAATTTGTTTTGCCCATAGCAACCAATCAAGTTTTTTTTTAATTTATTTTGTGGAAAAATAACATAAGGACTCTGATTAGGGAAAAGTCTGCCACATGGGGTTTCTTTAACCACTTGCCCTCCAGAGGATTCCCCCCCCCCCCCCCCCTTCCTGACCAGGTCATTTTTCGCGATACCACACTTTGTTATTTTAACTGACAATTGCGCAGTTATGCAACATTGTACCCAAATGAAATTTATGTCCTTTTTTCCCCACAGATGAAGCTTTCTTTTGGTGGTATTTTCTCGCTTGTGCGTTGTTTTATTTTTTGCACTATAAGCAAAAAAATATTTTAAGATTTTTTGCTATTAAACATGTCAAGTAAAAAAAAAAATTCCGTCATAAATTTAGGCCGAAATGTATTCTGCTACATGTCTTTTGCTAAAAAAAAAATATTTATGGGGCTGTGGGTAATGTAAACTGCATAATATAATTTTCTTTACTATTTGGAAATATGTGTTTGTAATTTGACTGAAAGCTGCACTGAGGCATAGACTGATGTATAGTAAATTAACTGAAACTTGACTGCAGCCAGCCATCATGTTACAGATTTCATTATTAAAGCAACACTTTCAATAGGCAGCACCTGTGCCCCAGAGAAAGTTATTACTGCAGTTTTCCCTTTCATCAGCATTTTTACTATTTATGTTTGCAGAGCTGTCAGCTTATCATCCTATGTTATAGAACTGGGACTGAATGTTACCCCAAAGACTATGCCACCCGGGAGACATTTACTGCAAATGTCCAGGTGACAGCTGTCAGCTTGGCTGACACCCAGGAAAATCAAAACTAAAAGCACATTTTGCTATGGAAGCCATCAATAGCAAAATATACAAATATGATTTTTTAGAGTATGATACCATTCATAAATACTGACTCTGTGTTTCCTGTAATCCTGCAGGGCTGTGTTTTTCTTTATTATGTAAGATTGTACTCAACAGTGCTTATTGCAAAAAATGGAGGAAAAGGAATGGTACCTTTAGTAACCAATTAGATGTTACGTGATGGCACAAGCAGACATTTGAAGGAACTGTGCCAGAAAGTACATTGCCAAGCACAAGTGTTGCTGGGAAGGATAGAACAGTATACCTACACCTTAAAGTGGAACTTCTTTGGACTCTGCTGTCCATTTACACCTGACTACCTGCCAATCTGATCCACCTACACAGAAGAGGACAGATCCCCTTCTGCTTTTTTTTAGCTAGTCAGACCCGAAGGTAGGTGGGTGTAAACGGACTTGTCTATACATAGGAATGCATGGACCTTCTTTTTTTTTTTTTTTTTAATATTATTATATCTTTTATTTGATTTTCCAGTACAAAAAGAACAATTTGATTACAAACATATTTCACATATACATACTTCCATTTTCCCCCAACATTAATCCCACCCCCACTCACCTACCCACCATCCCCCCAACCCAATATCCCCATCCACATCCTCCTTTCTAATCTATATCTGCTCTCATAATTATTTGTCTGTATCTGAATCTACTCTCTCTCAGATTCTCCACTAAGGCTCTCTCCTAACTTCCTCCTCAGCTCCAACCAGTTCAGTGTATATTTCAGAAGTTTTAAATTTTGACCAACTACACCACATTTTCCTAAATTTTTCTATTTTATCCTCCTCTATGTGATATAATTTTTCCATCCTATAGATATTTTCAACTCTTCTTATCCATTCGTTAATTCTTGGTGCTTCCGGAACCTGCCAAAACTTGGGGATCAGAACCTTAGCCGCACTGATTTAGTGATTAAAGTACCCTGTTTTTATATAGTTTCACTGAGGGCTCAAAATTATAGAATAGACACCTCCACAGATCTCTCTGTACAGTCATCCCACATATTTCCTGAGTGTATTGAATTATTTTCTTCCAGTAATCCAGTATTATCGAGCAAACCCACCATAAATGTGCCATTGTTGAGATATCTACTTGTTTCTTGTGTGCTACACTTGCTGTAATAAACCATCTAGCCAGACATTTATAATTAATTTCCACTGTGCTCATATTTATCACCTCGTGTGTTAATTTACAAATGTTATTCCTTTGTTGTGCATTCAATTCTGTTCCAAGCTCCTTTTCTCATTTTTCCAGGAACCCCGGAGGATCAGTTACTTCCATAACCATGAAGATCTTATATATCCTAGAGGTGGCTTATTTTGGGGCCATATTCTCATTTAACAATTTTTCAAATGGATTCATGTCATCTGACGTCCTCAGTGCTTGTGGAAACCTTGAAACAAAATGGTTTAATTGACAATACCCCCACTCATCAAATGTGATAAATAAATCTTTTTTCTTCTTTAAGTTTTGAAAAGTGTGCAATTTCCCTCTATTCAATATATCCTTCAAACGTGCATTCTTATCTTTTATCCATTTCCTGGAAATATTATCCTTCCCTGGGGGAAACTACTCCGTTCCCACCAAGGGAGTCAGTATTGAATTATATTCCCATCCTTCTTGCCTATACATTCTATTCCATACACTCAGAACTTTCCTTGTCAGGGAACTAGTGTTTACATCCAATGTGCGAAACCTATGTGGTATCCATACATTCTTCTCTGTGTCTTACTTAAAATCCCTTCCATATTTACCCATCCCTTCCCTTGTGAATTAAATGTCCAATCTACTATTTGTGATAAAATCACTGCTAGGTAATAATTCCTCACGTTAGGCAATCCCAAACCTCCATTCTCTTTTTTTGCTCTACTCAGGACCTCGTAACTGATTCTCGGTTTCTTATTTGCCCATATGAACCTGAGTATCATCTTCTTTATTATCCCAAAAAAGACCCTGGAAGGTGCACCAAAAGCATGTGGAACGTATACAGAATTTTTGGCACTATCACAATCTTTATCAGATTTATACGCCCTATCCAAGAGGCTCCACCCTTTGAAAGTCTCCTTACCTCTTCCTTAATTTAATTTATTAAGGGGATATAGTTTGCCTGATATAGACCTTTTATTGAGGGGGTTAATTTTACTTCCAAGTAGCCTATTTCCTTTTCCCTCCAGATGAATGGGAATTATTTTTGTAAGCTCAGCTTCTCTGACATTGAAAGGTTGATATTTAAAATTTCTGACTTTACCAGATTTATTTTCAGATTTGAGAGCTCACTGTACTATTTTAATTCTCTCTTTAGATTATGCAACGTTATTCTAGGATTAACAATATAAAAGAACATATCATCTGCGTATGCAGCTACTTTATGTTCCACTTCACCTATCTTTATTCCTGCTTTATCTACACACATCCTTGCCGCCGCCTAGACAGGTTCCAAGGACAGTGAAAATAACAAAGGAGAAAGGGATCATTCTTGTCTAGTGCCATTGTACATTCTAAAAAACTGAGAGCGGGATCCATTAACCTTAACCGCAGCTTACGGACTATTATACAACCCTTTTATCCATTTTTAGCATTTTAGGCCCTATTCCTAGTGCTAGCATATCATACATAAATCCCCAATTAACCATGTCAAAAGCCTTTTCAGCATCAATCGATAGGAGTATTGCCAGCACTTTCCCTCTCTTAGCTCTTTGTACAAGAATCAAGGATTTTAAACCATTATCATTACCTTCTCTTCCAGGGATGAAGCCCACCTGATCCAGATGTTCCCATTCCGACATCAGACCCTTCAGTCTTGTTGCCAGTACCTTAGAATATAGTTTTGTATCTATATTTAATAAAGATATAGGCCTGTAACTGGCACACTGTGAGCTATCCTTCCCTTTTTTAAGGATAATTGGTATATGACCTTGTAATGACTCCTCCCTCATTTCCAACCCCTCCCCAAGTGCTTTCATATAGCTACACATTTTAGGAACAAGAAGATCTCAACATTTTTTAAAGTATCCCACTGCGTATCCATCAGGGCCTGGGCTTTTACCTCCAACCGTGTTCTTTAGGGCTAAGTTAATT